GTCCTCGAGGCCTGAGTTCGAGGAATCAACTTCCATGGGGCGTGGCAGTCCTTGCGAATTGCTGCAATTGCTCGAACAATAACTGCTGCGACTGCTAGCGATATCGATCGACGATGCACGCGTTCATCTGTATGTAGGCCCCCCCACGCACGAACATTCGACGACATGCTTGTATCATAGCGCACCTTGGGGGGAGAAGGGCAGGGGGCGATGTCAAGTCCGTTGTGCATACGCGTACACTCGCGCTGCCAAGCCAGGTCCCCTGGGGCCCACTGCCCTGCGAAGATGCCACTGCAGGCGCCGCGGGGCGGGCGCGCCCGCAGGGCCCGCGCAGTGGAGCGGACGCAGCGGGGGCGGTGGAGGTGGAGGGCAGGGGGACTGGGTATGTGGGAGGACGAGACAGAGGAGTGCCAGGGGAGGAGCAAGGGGAGGAGCAAGGGGAAGGGTAAGTGGACGATGCAGCGGAGACAAGGAGAGAGAGAGAGAGAGAACAAAAAAAAGAGAAAGAAAGAAAGAGGGTGAGAGAGAGAGGGAAGGAGAGGGAGAGCGAGAGGGAGATAGAGGACACATATTGGGATGGTCGCGACGAGTAAGGAGGACAACAGCCATACTTGCGGCGATATCTGAGTCGGGATGTTCTTGATTTGCAGCTGTGCCGCTCAATACCACAGAACACAAGCGTCTCCCACTCCGCGTGCTGCTTCTACCTCCCTACATCGTTCCGTGCTGCTGCTGGCTCTATCTATCGCTCGTTCCTCACGTGATCCTACTCCTCTTCCTCCTCATCCTCCTCCATCACCCCTCTCCCCATCCACCTCCTCCTCATTCCTGTCTCTTTTCCTCCAGAAAGAGCGCGGTTCCCGCTTCCATCGCCCTTCCATCGGGGGCCTCGGGGGGCGATGGATTCCACCGGGTGGCGATGGAAGGCAAAAGGCATTCCACCGGGTGCGTTGGCCATGCCAACGGGTGCGATGGAAGGTGTTTTGAGTGACGTCCAACGGGTGCGTTGGTATGTCCAACGGGTGCGTTGGTATGACCAACGGGTGCGTTGGTAGGCCAACGGGTGCGATGGAATCCATCGGATTCCATCGCCTTCCATCGCAGTCCATCGCGGGTATATCGTGAGAAATCGACGTAAATCGTGAGAAATCGATGTCATCCGATATTTTCACAATCATGGCTTACATTTGGTGCGATATCACAGTTGTTGCGTGATAGGGAAAGCACTGCCAGACACTTGGCTCGCAAAACAGAGGTCGGCTGACAGGGGCTCTGGGCAGGCCAGCAGGATAAAATGTGGCACCCAAAGATGCCTGACATCTCGCGCACATTTTTCAAACCAGATGATTTGCCACGCGCCGCTGCGCGACCGACCAGCGTCGCATCCCTGGAGCTTCCGTACAGATCCCGAAACACCTGTCTGTCATCAACCACCTCTGCGCGAGGCCCCAGGGAGGCGACGATAAGTAGAAATGAGATCTATACCCCAGCGACGCACCTCAAGTGCGTCTCAGCTTGCTTGCAGGCTATCCGTAACCAGCTGAGCGGAGGGAGGGAACAGGCAGAGTAGCGGGAGTCAGCACTTGAAGGGCGTGGCAGGCCAGGAGAAGGAGAAGGAGGAGAAGGAGGAGGTCAGATAAAGCGGCATGCATTGCGATATGCATTCGGGCTCATTGGTCGCGCACACCAGCGTTGACGCACTGGTCCTCCCAAGTCTCAGCACGTCTACATAGTGCGGCAGCGTCCAGGTATCCAACGCACGTCGGGCAGTCACTGCCTGCTGGCAGGCGGGCGCATCAACTGCTGCGACTCCATCATCTTCATATGGTCCGTGAGCGCGAGGATGGGGCCGTCGACCAAAGCGCTGTACTTGGCCAACTGGGTGCTGTAGGCGTCCTTACCAATGGCCTTGATCTGCTTCTTCTTGAAGTCAGTGTAGTTCACTTCCGAGAAGAAGGCCATGAAGAAGGGGTCATCGTTCACGATGGTGTCGACGGCGAGGATACGCTTCTCGAGCTCCGCCGTGTCCAAGGCAGCCCACGACCACTCGGGCTTGCACTTTGCTTTGGCAAGCAAGTCCGTCGCCTGCACCTTGAGGACAGCGTGGATGTTCTTCATGGAGGTGGCCTTGCTCTCGTCGCTGCCTTCAAGGCTGCCAAGCCGCGGGCCTTCTCCGCGGCGCGCTTGGGCTTGGCCTTGGCCCTGGCCCTCGCAATCGGCGGAGGCGTCTCCTCCTCCGCAGTAGACGGCGTCCCCTTCGCCCTCTTGCCAGCGCGAGTGCCGCCGCCAGCGGTCGCCTCCTCCTCAGCGGCCCTCTTGGCAGCGACCGAGCCGTTGGTCAGCGCCTTGGGCTTCTTGCCCTTCTCGAACTGCCAGGTCTTGTGCAGCTCCCAGACCTTGCTCATGGAATCCTCGTGAGTATCCACAGTGTACGACCAGCGGACCTGGCGAGTGAAATTGTGCAGCGAATAATACTCGCAGCCAGCGTCGAGGCAAGCAAGAGCGTTGTTGACCGCGGCCTGGAGTCCAGTCTTGCCTCCGCCCTCCAGCCAGGCGATGCGCCCCAGCGGGAGAAAGGTCCTGATGGGTTGGGATCCGAATCGGCATGTGCCCCAGCCCGCGCCCTCCAACCTCAAAGAGGAGGAGGGGCAGTTGCTGGAAGTGAAAAAATGGATGAGGAGGAGGAGGAGGATAAAGATACAGAGGACGCGCAGGAGATGGAGGAGGGCGGAGGAGGTGGAGCAGCAGCAGCAGCAGGCGGACGGTGGAGGAGGACGAGGACGAATGGGAGGAGAAGGGGGGGAGGAGGTCAAGGGGAGGATGAGGCTGGAGGTTTAGGATATTTGTTTACCGTCAGTCCTCGTGGTTCTCTCCGTCTGGGTCTTGCGCTGGATCTCCCTGCGCTCGCGCATGAACGTCTGGTACTCCTCGACGGCCCAGTCCGAGCGGAACTTCGCGCGAGCCGCAGGGCTTCCCACTTCGTCGTAACTTCGAAGAAACCAACCGCCCCCCCCGCCGAACCTTGCCCCCGTCTGGTTCCTGAGTCCCCTCTTCCGGGCCCTCGCCTTCGCTGGGCCCCGAAGGGTGCGACGGAGGTGGAAGGTGGGGGAGGGGGGGGGGGAGGCGAGGGAACTTCTGACCCCGCTCCGCGGGGGAAGAAATGCCCTCACCTCCTCGCCCCCTGCACGACCCTCCCGGGTGCTACTCGGGGCGGTGTGGGGGAAGGGCGGTTGAGTTCCTCGGGCCGAGCTTTCAGCTCCGGGTCGGACTTGAGGCGGCGCGCCCACCGCCCCGCGATCGCGTGCAGCTTGCCGTTCGTGGGCACTTGGAAGCCCCTCTGCTGGACGCTCAACCAGAACTGCAGCTCGGCCTCGGTGGCGATAGCAATGTCCTCGGCCCCGTCGGGGTTGAGCTCCCCGTTGACCACCTCGGGGGTCCTCATCGCAGCCTCCTTCGCTGCAGTGAAGAGAATGTTCGCGGTCAAGTCGACGTCGCCAGCCGTCTCATCCAACAACTTGGCGCTGGTATGGTGCATGGCCGCGTTCTGCTGCTCGAGCCACTGGCCGAGGGAGCCGATGTTGACCTGGCGGGTTGAAAAAGGAGGAGTGGAGGCGACGGCGCGGCGGAACCGACCGGATCCATCGCCTTCCATCGCTTTTCCATCGCTGCCGTTGGACCGCGATGGATGCCTTCGAGCGTCCAACGCCCGCGTTGGACGGTCCAACGCGGGCGTTGGACCGTCCAACGCCTGCGTTGGACTGTCCAACGCGGGCGTTGGACGGTTCCATCGCGGTCCAACGGCAGCGATGGAAAGGCGATGGAAGGCGATGGATCTGGCCCCTGGGATCCCCGGCAAACTCCTCTCCCCCTGGCGCCTGCCCCGCCCCAGGTGCCCTGGTGACCTCGGGGGCCTCGAGGGACTGGTTGATGAACACGGAGAGCGCATGGATCTTCGCCTGCGTCTCCGGGTTGATCGGTGGAGGGGCCTCGACTGGGGCTGCAGCCTCAGGCACGTACGGGGGGGTCTCGGGCAGCGGCGCAGCACCAGAGGGGCTTCCGCCATACTCTGCATCACGGAGGGCGCCGTACTGGGGCTCGGGGACGGGAGAGCTCGCAAGGCTGGGCTGGCGGGATCCAGAGTGTTCGGGCTCTTCGGGAGGCATCATCAGAGACCTCAGGTTGGTCAGGGTCATGCCCGACGTGGCCCCCTCGGAGTCGACCTCAGTCGGCGCACGCTCTTGCGAAGAAGACCTGGCCATCGGCGCGGCCGCTCTGTCGGGGGAGGGGGTGGCACTCGCCACGGAGACGGGGGAGCTCATGGTCTTGGATCTGCTTCGAAGCTGCAGGGGTATCTAGCGCAGTAAACTGCTCAGCCAAACGCCCCGACGTGGAGGGAAGGAGCAGGGGGGCAGCAGCAGAGGAGAGCCCTCGTCGAGAGGGGGGGCCAGCGTGAGAGGTGGGAAGAGTGGGAGTAGGAGAGAAACTTGAATGGGCAGGAGCTCTTTTAGACATGAAGAAAATGATAACGAGGAGGAGGAGGAGGAGGAGGAGGAGGAGGAGGAGGAGAGGGATTAGGAAAAAGGAAGGGAGAGAGGGAGAGAGAGAGAGAGAGAGGGAGAGAACGATACCTTTCGCACGCTGCAGCGAAAGCTGCGATCGTTCTGAGTCGTCTGGCGCAAACGCCAGAGCAGAAACTTAAATGCAGAGCAGGCCTGGGACATTGCAACTATATGTTACTGTAGCTGGCTTTATCGAAGCTCTCGGGCATCGCGGCTGCCAGACACCCCATCCTCTTTTCGAAACTCTCGGGGGATCGGCTGCTGCGGACGGCCCCCTTGTTCCTCTCCCTTTTCCGTTTCACTTCCTTTCATCCCCCTCGCCCTCGTCCTCGTCATCCTCCCCGTCATCCTCTCCCCCTCCTCTCCCCCTCCTCTCCCTCGCCCTTCGCCTCAACCTCATTCTCGCCATCTCTGGCGCCGACTGGGTCCTCAGGCTGAGGCCTACTTGCACGGGAACGTGGGAGCAGGGCCCCAATTGCTCCACGGCAGCTTCGAGCCGCAGTCGTCGGCCCTCGGGATGTCATCATCCGAGGTCTCCACCGCTGGCTCCAAGGACTCCGCCGCCGCTGGGTTCTTCGCCGCCTTCTTGGGGGTCACCAGCACGGGGCTCACCGCCGCTGCTGCTGGGCGCTTCCGCGTCTCGGCCACCGCGCCCTCCTCGTCGTCGCCACCGGGTGCGACCTGCGCGGCCGCGGGCGGGTCCTTGGGCGAGGTCTTGGGCGCCGCCGCGGCGTCGCTGTTGCTGACCAGCCACTCGTCCTTCAGCTTCTTGGCCTTCTGCTTGCCCATGGAGCCGTTGCTCTCTGCGTACTGCTCACCGAGCTTCTTCATGAAGTCATGCGCCGCCGTAAGTTTGGCCTCGTCGAAGCCCTTCACGATCATCTGGCAGATCGCGCCGTCGTCGTCGGACTTGACCGCCTTCAGCTGGTAGAACTGCGTGCTGGCCTCGTTCTTGAAGATCATCTGCACGATGCCCCTGTCCGCCTTCTTGAAAATGAACTCGTTGATCTTGCCCGACTTTTTGCCATTACCTGGAAGAGGCGCCCCTGAGCCCGCGGTCGGCTTGGTGCCCACCTGCTCGCCGATGGTCAAAGTAGGGATGGTCCACTCGTCGCCGCCAGGGAAGACACCAGTCGCCAAGTCTGTGCTCTTCTGGTCGGGCGTGGGCGCCTTCAGCTGGCCCTTCTGGCGCGTGGACTCGACCCTCTCCACGGCGCCGTCCTCGCCCGTGCGCATCTCGTAGCGAAACGGCGCCTTGGGAGGCCAGTGGGGGTTCAAGAAAAGCTCCTTCCTCCTCCTCCTCCCCCTCCTCACCCCCATTCCTTTTCTCCAATCTCTCTGGCCCACTCTCCTCCATCTTCCTCTTCCTCCATCTCCTCCTCGCCTCAGCTAGACGGATGGAGGGGGTGCGTGCCGTGATTCAAAATGAAGCTCTCGCCGTAGCTCCGCACGAGTCATAAGTCTGCAACAGTTACACGGTTCGAGGGCGGTTCGATTTCAAAATGGCGACCCCCGACCCCAGGAGGAGGAGGAGGAGGAGGAGGGGGAGGAGGAGGAGGAGGAGGAGGAGGAGGAGGGGGAGGAGGAGTAGGAGAGGGAGGAGGGCGCCTCGCTGAAATCGCCCATTACTTTCTTGAGGTACGGGGAAGCATCGAAGATGTCGGCGTCCAGGAGCAAATTTCGCTGCTCTTGGGCGCCGATTGGGAACGGGGGGGGGGGGTGCGTTTTAACTATCCCCCCCCATGCCGAGTCGGCGTGGGGGAAGATAAGAAGGGAGCTCTGCCGAAACTACGGGAGAGCGTGGAAAGAAAGTCGGCGAGCGAGGAATGGAAAGGAGCAAGGAGGTACTATACTACTACATATATATATATATATATATATAAGCAAATAAATCCTCCTCGCCCTCCCCCTCCTCCCCCTCTGATTTGACAATCTTCCTCTTAATGCAATCCTCATCCCTCTCCTCGCCCTCCACCTGCACTTCCCCCTACCTCCTATAGGAGCCACCTGCCTCCTCGATCCTCCCAGGAGCCACCGCTTTCAAACATTAGGCCCTGTGGTGCCTTCAGCTCGCGGTCGTACTGGTACTCGTACGTGAGCTTCGCCGAGGGCCTCTTCATCACGGCGCCGTCCTCGGAGTCGTCGTCCATGATGTCGCCATCCTCCGAGATGTCATCGTCGTCCTCGGCGGGCTCCTCGGCGGGCTCCTCGGGCTCGGCCTGGCTATCCACGGCCTCGTCCTCGTCGCCCTTGATGTCGTCGACGAAGCGCTGCACCCACGCCGGGTGCTGTTTGTGGCTCCTGCTGTTGATCTTGACGATCGCCCTCTGAAGATCACGCATCATGATCCTGAACTTCTTATTCTGCGACCCCACCCAGCTGGACTTCTCCGACGCCAGCTTCCAGGACTCCTCATTATCGTCTGCAAGACGCTGCCATGCCTCCTTGCCCGTCAGTTTGGATATGCTGCCATTGGGAAACACTTCGCGCGCAGCCTTGACGAGGTCGAACCAGACCTCGAAGGCTTTCTGGTTGACTGGGCCCTCTGGCTCGACCCTGTACTTGATCTTTTTGGCCGTGGTCACCTGATAGGTGTCAAAAAAAATCCTCCTCACTCCTCTCCCCCTCCCCTCTTACCCCCCTCTCCTCTCCTCTCCCCCTCCCCTCTTGCCCCCCTCCTCCTCTCCCCACTCCTCTCCCCCTGGAGGTTCGGGGTTTCGGTGTTCAAGAGGTTCGGGGGTGGGCGGGTGGAATGTCGGAGTTTGGGGTATTTGAGTTTTCACGCTTTTAGGGGTCTGGGTGTTTGGGAGCTTGGGGTTTAAGCGTTAAGGGGCTCAATAGGTTCGGGGTCGGGGGTTAATTGGGGATTGGCCCAGAACGGTCCAAGATGCCCCAAGACGGCCCAAGAGAGACAGCCCCAAGAAGGCCCAAGACAGCTTAAGATATACCTCCAAGACGGCCCAAGAGAGAGCCAACGGGCCCCAAGACGGCCCAGGAGCGACCCAAGAGGGGCCAAGATGGCCCCAGGACGGTCCGAGAGGCCACCACCACCCCCAGAGAGAGAGAGATAGAGAACACACAAACAACTATGTGCTTTGCATCCCGCGTCACGTGCTCCTTCAGGACAGCGATGAAACCATCCACGTCCGTGCCCACCACCCGCTTGCTCGGAGGAGCGGTGGCGGGTCTCTTCATCACCATATGGCGAAAAATCTGAACAAATCTATGACATGCGCCAAAACGCTGCCGATGAATGGAAACGGCCATGGTCGACACACGCACGCGCGCACACACGCGCACACGCGCAGGTCTGGGAGGGGGGCGGGCGACGAGGGCGAGGGATGTATATGCCCCCCGCCCTCCCCCTTCCTTCTCTGCCTCCTTTATCCTTCCTCCTCCTCATCCTCGCCGCTCCAATCCTCTAGATCCTTCGTTTTCCCCCTGCCCTCTTGGGGCGCGGCACGGCACGGCGCGCGACCACAGCGCGGCGCGGCGCGACACCGCGCAGCACGGCATTCGGCGAGGACAAACAATAAAGGCGGGAGGAGGGCGAGCGAGATATTGTTACACAAGTACGCAGACCCGCACGTATGCCGACCGCCAACCCTGCTTACCAGGGTAACTTGTTGTGTTAAGGCTTGAATTTCGTTTGTTATTTGAATGCGTGTTTTCGGATTTACCTAAGTTGATATAGTGTTACACTTAAAATAGCTCTACACGCCGCCGTAAGCTCCATGACGATGGTGCCATCGTGAGATGGCACCTTAATGATGTACGTCATAAGGCTTGGACCACGATACAAGGCCCGGGTCGGGGATACAAGGCCCGCAAGGCCCGGGCCCGCGCGGGCCTTGCAACAAGGCCCGGCGACCCACAGGGTTCTGGAGCAGCGAAGATGGTTTGCTGGCAGGCACCACCACCGTCCGGCTTCTAAACTAAAGCCCTCTGGCTCTCAGAGAGCTCTTTAGGAAAAACATGGAGAGCAAAGAGGCATTCACACCGGGAAGCTATCCGGAGCAGCGTGCCGGAAGCGCTCCCGGACGCGCTGCGACCTTTTTCAAGTCCCTCCGAGGATCGTGGACCGGCGAAGGTGGGCTGCTGGCAGGCACCATCACCGTCCAGCTTCTAATCTAAAACCCTATAGCTTTCAGAGGGCTCTCCGGGAATGGTAGCGTCCAAAACCCGGATAGCAAAGAGGCGCTCACGCAAACGCAGCAAACGCACGCGGTTTGGCGTGCGCGGAGACACTGGAAACCTCGCGTGACGGAGCTCTTGGGGACGCTGGAAAGCTTCCCTGCGAAGCTCTGAATACTCTGGAAAGCTGACCGCGTAGAGCTCTTCGGCATCGATGAGCTAGAGAAATTCTGGCGCGGGGTGCAGCTAGTTGGCCAACCCGGCCCGGGCGGACAATGTGGTGACCTGGGGTCGGTTTTTCGAAGAGTGTGAGAGATTTTGAAATTCGCTTCGGGAACTCAAGTTTTCAATTCTCTGCAGTCGATCATGGCGCGCTCGATGGTGCAATTCTCAGGGCCCTAGCTGCATTATTTCGATCAAAAGACTAGGGGGAACCGACGTTGTGTAAACCCGAAAAATAACATATCTTTGGTTTTCAAGCTCATATTCACGAACGATTCCTCTTTGTTACCTGGGAACTGATTTGATCTCTGCAGAGCTCAACGAGAGTCCCGGCGGTAACCTAGTTGACGGTTTACCGCCGGCTCCCAGTTCTTGAAGAGCTCTGGGGGGCTCTCCTGAAGCGCTTCTGAAGCTCTGCCAGCGACGCTTCCACGCGCGCAGGCACGCGTGGACGCGTGCCGGAAGCGTTCCCGGACACTCTTCGAAGTTTCACAAGCCCCTCGGGAGTTCGGGGACCAGCGAAGAGACGGGCTGCTGGCAGGCACCACCACCGTCTGGCTTCTAATCTAGAACCTTATAGCTCTCAGAGAGCTCTCCGTGAATTAAAAGCCGGACGGCGGTGGTGCCAGCCAGCAGCTCCTCCACGGCAGTCCAGAATCGTCGCAGCGCCCCATGGGAGTTCGCAGTGTGTCCAAGAGCGCTTCGGGCACGCGTCCACGCGGGCCTGCGCGCGCGCAGGCGCGCGTGGAAGCGTCGCTGGCAGTTCCTCAGAAGCGCTTCAGGAGATGCGTGTGCTCGTTTGTGTGAGTGCCTCTCTCCTGGGGGGCTCTCTGAGAGCTTTGAGGTTTCAGATTCAAAGCAGGACAATGGTGGTGCCTGCCAGCAGCCCATCTTCGCCGGTCCACGATCCCCGGAGGGGCTTGTAAAACTTCGCAGCGTGTCCGGGAGCGCTTCCGGCACGCGTCCACGCGCGCCTGCACGCGAGCAGGCGCGCGTGGAAGCGACGCTGGCAGCACTTCAGAAGCGCTTTCAGGAGAGCTCCCCATAGCTTCTCAGGCAAGCTCTCCAGCGCATCCAAAGCTTCGCAGGAAAGCTTTTCAGCGTCTCCAGAGCTCCATCACGCGAGCCTCCCAGAGTCTCCACGCGCGCTGAACCGCGCGCGTCTGCTGCGCACGTACCGCGTAGAGCTCGTCGGCATACCTCGTAGAGATCTTCGGCATCGGTGAGCTAGAGGAATTCCGGCGCGGGGCGGAGCTAGTTGGCCGACCCGGCCCGGGCGGACAATGTGTCAACCTGGGGTCGGTTTATTCGTAGAGCTTTCCTCGGCTAGTTCCCGGAAAGCTCTCTGAGAGCCATGGGGTTTTAGATTGGGATCCGGCGGTAAACCGTCAACCAGGTTACCGCCGGAAGCCTCGTAGAGCTCTTCCTTCGCGCGGCGCTGCTCGGGAAACATGGAAGCAGCTTTCTCAAGGATCAGCTGGGAAACTCGAAAAATTAGGTTTTTCAGTTTTTCCACAAAGTCGGTTCCTCCAAGTGTTTTGATAATAATATTGCAGCTACGGACCGGAGAATTGCACTGGCAGACGCGGCATAACCCACTACGGGTGCGAAAAATTTGGGACTCAAAATGAATGGTCAAATATTTTTGAAATCTCAGCAGAACCGACCCAAAGTCACCGCATTGTCCGCCCGGGCCGGGTGGGCTAACGAGCTTCACCCCGCGCCGGAATTTTTCTAGCTCATCAATAACGAAGAGCTCTACGAGGTATTAGAAGCCGGACGGTGGTGGTGCCTGCCAGCAGCCCATCTTCGCCGGTCCAGAATCCCCGCAGGAGCCTGTTTGTCCCGGCAGCTGGTCCGGGAGCGCTTCAGGCACGCGTCTACGCGTGCAGGCGCGCGTGGAAGCGTGCCTGGCAGCGCTTCAGAAGCGCTTTAGTAGAGCTTCCCAGAGCTCTCCCGGATAGCTTTCCGGTGTGAATGCCTCTTTGCTCTCCATGTTTTTCCCAGAGAGCTATCTGAGAGCCAGAGGGTTTTAGTTTAGAAGCCGGGCGGTGGTGGTGCCTGCCAGCAAACCATCTTCGCTGCTCCAGAATTCCCGCAGCGACATGTGTGCGGTTCGCAGCGGGTCCGGGAGCGCTTCGGGCATTTGTCCACGCGCGCCTGCACGCGTGCAGGCGCGCGTGGAAGCATGCCTGGCAGCGCTTCAGAAGCGTTTCAGGAAAGTTCCCCAGGGCCCTTCAGGAAAGATTTCCAGAGTATGCTTCTTTGCTCTCCGGGTTTTGAACGCTACCAAGTTCCCGGGGAGCCCTCTGAGGGTTATAGGGTCTTAGATTAGCAGCCGGGCGGTGGTGGTGCCTGCCAGCAGCCCAACTTCGCCGCTCCAGAATCGTACCTCGTAGAGCTCTTCGTTATACCTCGTAGAGCTCTTCGGCATCGATGAGCTAGAGGAATTCCGGCGCGGGGTGCAGCTAGTACCTCGTAGAGCTCTTCGGCATCGATGAGCTGGGGGAATTCCGGCGCGGGGTGGAGCTAGTTGGCCCACCCGGCCTGGGCGGACAAAGCGGTAATTTTTGGTCGGTTTTTCCCGGAGAGCTCTCTAAGAGCTATAAGGTTTTAGACTTGGGATCCGGCGGTAAACCGTCAGCCAGGTTACCGCCGGAAGCCTCGTGGAGCTCTTTTCTCGTGCGGCGCTGCTCAGAACACATGGAAGAAGCTTTCTCTAGGATGGGCTCAGAAGCTCGAAAAATAAGTTTTTCAGTTTTTCCCAAAGTCGGTTCCTCCAAGTGTTTGGATAGTAGTATTGCAGCTACGGACCCGAGAATGGCAGCAATTGGCAGACGCGGCCTAACCCACTACAGGTGCGAAAAATCTGCTTTCTCAAAATAAATGGTTGAATATATCAAATCTTAGCAAAACCGATCCAAAGTCACCACATTGTCCTTTCTGGTCGGGTCGGCCAACTAGCTCCATGGCTCCACCCCGCGCCGGAAATCTTCTAGCTCATCGATGACGAAGAGCTCTACGAGGTATTAGAGCCGGACAGTGGTGGTGCCTGCCAGCAGCTCCTCCACGGCGCTCCAGAATCGTCGCAGAAAGTTGCCAGTCCCGGCAGCTGGTCCGGGAGCGCTTCCGGCACGCGTCCACGCGAGCCTGCAGGCGTGCAGGCGCGCGTAGAAGCGTGCCTGGCAGTGTTTCAGAAGCGCCTCAGAAGAGCTCCCTCTTTTCCCGG